ATTTCTTAATTATTGACATTTTTAAAGATATAAGCTCACCCCGACAATACACTCATCGAGGCCTTTCATTTGAGTACCCACATCAATTTTTTATATATTTTATATATTATATATATGTATATATGAAAAATATATAAAAATGTATGTGGGTACTCAAATGAAAGCTCTTGATGAGTGTAACATCAAAATGAGCTTATATCTTTAAAAATGTCAATAATTAAGAAATTATCTTGTATCTTGTGAAATATTGAAATTTTTGAAGATATAAGCTCATCCTGATGTTACACTCATCGATACCTTTTATTTGAGTACCCACATCAATTTTTCATATATTTATATACTTATATATATATATATATATATATATATATGAATATATGAAAAATACATAAAAATGCATGTGGGTACTCAAATGAAAGCTCTTGATGAGTGTATCATTGAAATGAGCTTATATATCTTTATGAATGTCAATATTTAAGAAAGTACAGTGCAATTTAACAAAAGTATAAGACAAAATTTTATTCATTTATAATAGTTGCTAATATTTAATAATTTATTAAGAATTGATTTTTTCTTTAATTAAAATAAAATTGCAAGTGTCAATAACTTTTACCTTATAATAAAAAAAATTAGCAACAAAATTCTACATGTAAAAATTAAAAAACAATTTTTAATTGTCTGCTAATTTTAGTATAATTTCTCATTTAATTTAATAAATTATTTAAAAACCCTACATAGGATTGTTGCAATAGCGATATCGAACAATAACACCAACACCGCAGGTCGTTGAACACTTTCCTTGTGACCAGAGACTCCAGCCGCCGTTTATTGAAATGTTTTTCTTTAGCAAGGCCAGCTGGAAGTTACTTTGGTCGATTGACTGGCAGTTGCCATCAACACACCGCTGAAAATAAATTAATTTAAATTAATGAAGACATAAACAAAGGAAGAATAAGAAGAAAAAGAAAAAAGAAGGAAATAAATGTTTTATCTTTATGACTGACTTTATTTTTCCCGCAGGGCGTCCCATTTAGAGGAGGTCCTTTCTTTGTTTTGCATAGTTTATTGTGGTCCTTATGAGCACACCACAGGTGGGCGCAGAGACCCGTTAAATCAAGGCGCTTGCAAAGCTCGTACCCGTCCCCGAATTCCATGCGACACTGCTCGTCCATTGTAAATGTCTCCGGCGAGGCTTTTAAATATGTTGCATTATTCAGCTCCGGGTGATTGTTCAAGCACGTCCAGTCTCTGTGAATTCATTGCTCCCATTAAATACTGAGTAAATAAATAATTTAAATAGTAATTTAAATTAAAGTGGAGACTGCTCGCCTGGATCGATGGTGAAACTCGGTCCGGGAGCAGACTGACCAGTGGAACCGATGGAAAGTCGCCGCGACGACAGGAGCCATCACACTCCCGGTTACTTCGTCGGCGCAAGAATTATCCGCGGCTTTATCTCCGTCGTGAGTCAGTCCTAAACTGATTTAGTGATGAAGTTAAGTGAGACTAAGAAGCACAAATATTATTTACCAATACCAACATGTGAGCGAGCTCGTGGGCGATGATAAAGGCACTTGTCAGACCTTCGTCACGGTTCAGCGCACATGATCTAGCTGGATCACACACGCCTGACACTGGAGCGTACCCAGACGGACCACCGATGTCCAGTCTTGTTAGCCAGACTGCTACGTCGTGGGGTTTTGAAACTGATGAAAGCAGCTTTCGATTCCACTTGTTCACGTTTTCTAGTGACTTGCGGGCATTGCCGAGATGGATCTGTGAATATTAATTATTATTCATAAGAAAATTAGCCGACGTTCAACAACTTTAGATCTTTATCATCAATTAAATTACAAGTTTAAAAATACATTTATAAAATTCTACAAATTTTTTACATGTGAAATTTTTTATTTTAATTTTTCTGCGATAATTTCTCAATAAAAAAAATTTTCAGATGTCGGCTAATTTAATTTTCATAGAAAATTATGACATTGAAATTAGCAAGCTTTACAATTTTTTAATTTTTCTTTGATAATAAACAAAATCTTGAAAATTATTTATAAAAAATTGCATTTATAATTTTTTAAAGCTTCTAAAGATAGAATTTTTTTAATAAAATTTTTTTACTACAATTTATTGGTTAAGAAATTTCTAAAAATTATTACATGTCTTTTAATTTCAATATCCTTATAAAATTAATGAAATTAATCGGCGACTAAATTGAATTTTTAACAAAAACAACAATTTAAGTAATTTTTTTTCTATAAAAAACTTTGTCACTTTTTAAGACCGCATGCAAATTATACAAATTTGAGACCTAAAATTCTTTAAAATATTTTATTAAAACTGTTTTTTGTTATGACACATTTTATTTTTCAGAAAACTTACCATAGAATCCTTTTTATCCGCATAAAAAATAATTCTTACGATTACAAGCCTGAGATTTGCTTCAAGGGAAGGATGACTGTAAATTGCACTGACCTGAATAAAAAAATATAATTATGATAGATATATTTAACAATAATATTATTATTATTTTTAAAAAATTGCACTTGAAGTTTTTTAAGTTTTTTACAAATTTTGTTTTTTTGTAATAATTTTTTCAATAAATAAAATTCTAAAAAATTAATTTAGCAAATATTTGATAATTTTTCTAACAAATAAATTATGTCCAAAAAATTGGTATGAAAAAATTAAAATAAATTAATTTTCATTAATATTACTATTAATAATAACTAATAACAGAATGCAATGATATTTATTTGAATAAACAGCGACTTCTATCCAACATTATTATTAATAATTATGATAATCTTAATTTCAGCTTGACAATTCGTAAACTTACGATGTTTAGTAGAGCGAAAATATATTGTTGTACTTGCTCGCCGTGGAATTCTATCACCGAGTAATCAACAGCGACTCCGAGCTCGAGCCATTGTGAAGGTGACGTCTTTGTATCACCGGATGCAGGTCGTTCTGGAACAAAAAACCGTTTTAAATAAAAGCTAAAAAGTTTCATCAGACAGCGAAACAAAAGGAACATTAAACATTGGAGCACTTCAACTCGGTAAGTACACTTTATGAATACTTGCAATAATTAATTTTAGATCTTACCGAGATACTTGTACATCAGAAGTGAGTTGGTGAAGTTTAAACTAAACTTGTCTTCCCCTTCCTCACTTGGCTTCTTTTGGACGTTTGTTGGTCCTATGTCACGGTAAAGATCAAAAGTGTCTTCCGTCAAATCGTTGAAATTTCTAGAGTGTCTTTTGATTTTTGGCGCTCTAATTTCTTGAAGAATGTGACTGCCGTTGGTCGTAGGGTAGAGCGTCAATGTTTTTGAATTTAAAAAGACAACAATGTAAAAATTGTCGTCGCAAATTGTAACTATGCTCTGAAAATTAGTTTTTTGGACATGACCGTTCAAAACTGTGCAATTTTCTGCAGATTTAACATTTTTCATTCCCGAAGTCGCAAAACGCGGGTCGGAAGATATCCAATTTATTTTCGGGGATGTCAGTCGACTGCTGACTCGCGTTTTCAGCGTCCAATTGCCCACCGATACATAAACGTTATTAATTTTTGAGTCTATAGATCTGCGCAGAATTTTTGAAGCGGGGTACAGAATTTTTGGAGAAACAAAGCCGCGATTTATAACGCGAATTTTGTTTGTTTCGGCGACAATTATTGCGTGCAAGGTGAAAATAATAGTGTGGATTAAAATAATTTTATTCATAATGAAAATGAATATGAAATAGTCATTGCTGGATAAAGTAACACTGCACTAAATTTTTTTGGTCAGTATATTGATGGAATATTTTTTTATTGAGAGTAAAAAGCTTTGTTTGAGGTAAAGGAAATTTTCGGGGAGTGAATAAAGTATATTATGTAAATAAAAACTGTAAAAAGTCACAAACGGTCACGTCATTGAAAGTTATCCGAGCGAACAAAGAATAACGAAGCATTGGTTAATTGGTTTTGTCGACGTTTTCGTAGCGCCGACGGGCGTACTAACTGCAACTGGCAGCCACATGCTCGATTCTCGCAATAAATGGGAATGCAGACGTGCACTTTGGTGACGCTTGTAATGATAATAATAATCGTGGAAATAAAAATGCGAGCTACTGTACTGCATCGTCCAAGCTGAGAGAACAAGAGAGATGAAGATGCGAGGAGAGAAAGAGAAGAGTATCAAGTGGTTCGCTAATAAAGCACTCTCTGTATCTATATATACTGATACGAAGAGAAGAGACCGACTAAAACCATTGAAATTCTCCCGAGTATGTACTATGTGTACATGCAAATATTATGGTTAACATGGATAGAAATATTAGATATTTATTAATAATGCATTAGATTTTTTTTTAATAATAAATGGGTTTTATTTTGTAAATATAAATATGCAAAATATTTTTGAAAGCTAACCGTTCCACCTGGAACCAATCGGAACTTTCAATAGGGACTCGTGGTTACCCCAGTTTGAGGAGAATGCTGGATTGGCTGGAGATCCAGGTATATATGAACCAGGCGGACTTGGTGAATAACTTGGAGCACCTGGTAAATAGCCTGGAGGGCTTGGTACATAACCACCTGGAGGAGATGGACCGTAGCCAGGTGATGAAGGTGTTCCGTAGCTTGGAGGACCTGGAAGCCCATAACCTGGTAGAGACGAAGTTCCGTAACTTGGAGGAGAAGGTGTGCCGTAGCTTGGGGGACCTGAAGGTCCGTAACCTGGAGGAGAAGGTGTCCCATAATCTGGCGTTGATGTTCCATAACTTGGCGGCGAAGGTGTGCCGTAGCTTGGAGGACCTGAAGGTCCATACCCTGGAGGAGATGGAGTTCCGTAACTTGGAGAAGAAGGAGTTCCGTAACTTGGAGGGGAAGGTGTTCCGTAACTTGGAGGTGACGGTGTTCCATAACTAGATGGAGATGAAGTTCCATAACTTGGAGGAGATGAAGTTCCATAGCTTGGAGGTGACGGAGTTCCGTAACTTGGAGGAGATGGAGTTCCGTAACTTGGAGGAGATGGGGTTCCGTAACCTGGAGATTGATAAGAAGGAGGTCCAGGGTATTGGCTACAAGAAAATTTTTGATTAATAATAAATGATTGCTAATGAATGCAATATTTAAAACTTGAAAAGTAAAAAACCCAACCCGTAAGAAAGGGTGGTTGGAGGCGTCGAACTTAAGGTATAACTGAAAGTCGAAGATAACGGCTGAGTAGTGGTGTATCCTTCGCCGGGATCATCCGGAGTTTCCAAATCCCAGAACGGCTCGGAACAGGTCCCGTTGATGCACCTCTGAAATGAAATTCAACTGACAAATTAAGGATGAATTTGCTAACAAGAATTATCGGGACTAACCTTCCCTCTGCCACAAGGCGTCCCCTCGAGTGTCTGGGTCATGCGGGTCATGCAGCTGCGTCTTCTGCTGGCAGCTCTATTGCACCACAATTCCGTGCAAGGATCTTTAACGGTAACTCTGATGCAGAATACCCACCTAAATGAATTAAAAGTTTGATTATTGTCAACCGCAAGCTCCATCATCCTATTTGCTATCTCCCATCTCCACCTCGATACTTATTCTCCCATATTTCCATAAATTTAATGGCTATGAATAATTATCAATTATTACCCGTCTCCAAACTCGATGCGACACTGGTCGTCTAACGAAAATACCCCCGGCAAATATGCGGTGCTTTCATCGGTCGTCGGCGGTCGGTCCAAGCAAGTAAACTCTCTAGAATAAAAATCAAATTAATTACCAATTATCCAAGACTCCCCTAAATTGTTAAAGGACAATTTATATGTACATACCCTATAATTTCATTGTAGTGCTGAACTGAGCACGAAGACCAAGCGGGCGATGGATTAACAGTAGGTATCGTTTTGGACATTACTGTCGCGTGAAGCAGAGCTTCTGACGCGCAGTAATTGTTCGTCTCAATCTCTCCGTCGTGATTCAGGCCAACTCTGTTATGAATTTTAAACTAAATTTTAGTTTTCGGACAATGCATATTCTTGGTAACTTTGTTTGGAAACTCACAAATGCCCGATACCGTGAGCTATTTTTATCGCTGAAGCCCACCCGACATCTTGGACGAGAATGCACGACCTCATTTTATTGCACATGTACGGCCCCGGGGCTGAAGCGATGTCGTTCCCCAGAGGGTAGTGCGTGTACCACAAACCCATATCGTGTTTTTCTTCTGAGCTGTCGTGGATTCGTCTGTTCCAAAGGTTTACATTGTACAGCGGGTACTGCATGTTTCCTCTTCGCACCTTTCAATTATTCAAAAATCTCTATCAATTTCTATTAACACTAATGTGAAGAAATAAAATATGAATATGAATACTCACTGCACTGTCCTCAGGATTCGAGTACATGATTAATCTTTTGATCACGATCTTCGTGAGATTGGTGATAGAAATTTTCCTGAACAGCGTGCTGACCTGTTTGTTAAAAGAACATTTGATGAGTTGCTTGAAAATATACAAAAATTTATCTTTTTTTAAGAAAATAAATTTACAATATTTAAAATAGTGTAGACGTATTGTTCGGTAAGTTCGCCGTGGAATCTAATAACATCGAAGTCAACACCAATTACTATCTTTATCCATTTGCTCAAAGAATTTCCTTTGCGAACATATCGCTTCATGATGCGGCCTTTTAAGAACGGCCTTGCTTTGTCCTCATCGTACCACGATCCTGACAATTGATATTTATTAAATACAATTATTAATTAATTATTTATTGATTAATTGTTCAATTATTAATAATTTAAGAGTATAAAATTTTGTTTTTGGTTCAATTACTTTAAAAAAAATTTAATTTTTAAACTTTCTGCTTTATAAATTATAAAATTTAATTAAATTTTTAAAAACTCACGAAAGGGATGTGAACTTGACCCTGAATGAGGAATCGAAGCTTCGGTCTGTTCGTTCCCCAGCCGATATTGAGACTCTAAAGTATCAAAATAATGCGGGCTCGCAACATCCCCAGCCATATCGAAGTTTTCCCCAGTGTCGCAGATAGTGACGACTCTTTTTCTTCTTTTTCCGCAGCCTTTTACTATTCTGTAAGGCTGCTCAGTGCTTGTGAATTTGGTACTTCTTTTCGTGCGATTTAGGTGATGGTCGTAGTTTCCGGGGCAAGAAGACGGGCCTAATGTCACAAATCGGCTGCCAGAGTTGTCCATTTGCCAGGCAGTGCACTTTGGAGTGTCTTCTCCTGGAATTGAAACAAAAAATAAAAATTCAGCACACAAATCTTCTTAGATGTTATTTATCAACTGTTGGTAAATTTATTTAGAAAAAAATTTTTAAATTATTATTTTATTTATTATTATTTTTACATAAAAAAATTAAATTTAACTAATTTATTTAAATTTTTTCTATTTAATAAATTTATAAAGTTATAAAAAAATATCTAATTAAAATTTTGCAACTAAATTTTAATTCAAAGGTCCAAATAAATATTTTTTAACAATTACAATTTTTTAATGGTTAAAAAATATTTATTTCCTTAAAATAAATAATTTTTAATCCCCAAAAAATATTAATAAATAATTAATAAATTTTTACTAAAATAATTTGACGCTAAAAAATAAACAAAAAATACCAACCATAAATTTCGTTGTCTTCTTCAAACTTCTTGAACTGACTTTTGATCTTCTTGTCATACCTGCTCTTCATATCCTCCAAAAACGGTTCCTTGGTCTCGTACATAACATGATCCCCATTGACTTTCGTCGGCTGGAGAAAGAAAGATTTTTCCCCGAGCGTAAGCAGCCCATAAAAGTGATTGCTACAGATAGTGATAGCAACATAAGAATCTTTAACTCCTTGAACTTCTCCGTGCAAAGGAAGACAGCGTTCCAGTCTCGGGTGACTCTTGTCGCCTTTTGGCCTTTTTTTGGTCCCGGAAGTCGCCCACTGGACTGCGTAATTCCTTGCTACGACCAAATCCCGGTTGAATTTGGTCTTTAGGGTAAGATTTTTTACGTCGATGTAAAAAATTTCGGCGTCAGTTTCTTGATAGTTTAAATTGGACCTCTTAAATCTGCGATTTACTTCCGAGTGGGGGATTACTCGCGGGTGAACTTGTTCACTATCGCTATTTTTTAGTTTTTCACAAACTGAGTTTGTAATTAGGCCGAGAGTGAAGATTAGAATTAACATTTTTAGATAAAAATTCCTGGATAAAAACTACAATGGAAAAATTAAATTGAATCAAAAGAAAAATTTTTTAACTAAGAAAATAATTTTGGAAAAGTTTATTGTCTTGAATTAAATAAAATTAACTTAAATTTTCTTAATTTAAGAATTTTTCTACTCAAATCAAAACAAAAAATTCTTCAAAATTACACAGTAAAAAATTTTACGTGATTGCGTCAAAAAATTTTTTGTTAAAAATTTTTATGTTAAAATTTAACATTTTTTTGTGTTAATTTAAAACAATAAATATTAAATCAACACAAAAATTTTTAACACTAAGTTTTTTGACGCAAAATTTTTTACTGTGTACTTACTTGACTCAAAAAAATTTTTTTTTTGTAAATAAAAAATCTAAAATTGCGTTAAAAGTTACAAGCGAGTAAAGGAATTAATGTAACCGAGTTACTGGAGTAATTAGAGCAACTCTGAAGGTATAACTTCCCTTGATGTCGATCAATCATTCAGATTGATTTTGCGGGCATTTAAGCGTTAATAAATCACTGAATTATGGACATAGTTATAGTTGTAATTAAAGCGGGAGTGTAACTAGGTTTGCGTTTAAGGTAAATAAAAAACAAGATTTGATTAAATAAAGAAACGTTGGTGGTTTTATTGATGTCACGCAGGATAGAGAGTAACAGTAAGTACGGCTTGCAGCACTAGAGTCAATACAAAACCGATTTCCCTGGTGGTGAGATCCGCGGCTGTGCCTTTTCCCGTGTTGCAGTACGACTTTTCGCAGCAGTCGGTGCATGCAAACAGCTTTGTCCGCTCCCCGATCACAATGCATCCTGGCTCACATTTATTCGTGCAATTCCGCTCCAACGCCCACATCATCGGCTCCGATGTCGAGTTCTCCGTGCTCAATGTAAACGAGTATCTTTTTACCTACAAAAGACGGCCGAGAGTTTTTATGTCAGAAAAAGTTAGATAAAAAATGTTTTTTCAAGGCTTCAAAAGAATCGATTTACTTTTATTACTTGTAAGACAAAATTGATAGACACTTTTGTGAATTTTTAAGGGATTTTTTTAAGAAATCTGCATTGATTAATTATTTGGTTGGAAAAATATTCAATTTTTCTTTTTAATTACATTTTTTTTTAGTTATTTTTATATTTTTATACTCGTAATAAACACTATAAAAAGTTTTGTGGAAAAGATTGGAAAGTTCTATTCAAATTTTCATATTTTCCACAAGATTAAGAGGAAGAAATTGGCGAAAGTTTGTTTGATAAGAACTTTGATGCGTTGTAAAAATAAATAGGTCACTAAATTTAAATTTGTTTGAGAAGTATCATTTTAATATAAGTTTGAGGTACAATTGAAATAAAATTTAATACGTGTCGAAAAGTTCAATTTTAATAATAATAATATTAATTTTAGAAAATGATACTGAGAACATTTGCCACTCTTGAGATTGCAAATGAACAAATAAATTTATTCTAAAAAATTTTATTTAAAAATTGCACTTATAAACTTTCTTAGAAAAATTTCTTGATAAAGAAAATTTGCCTTCAGTATCATTATTAAACTTAATTTGAAAAAAAAAAAATAAGAAATTATAAATAAAAAAAAAATAATTAAATAATTAGAACTTGTAAACTATAAATAAATAAAATTTTGCTTTATTAAATAATGACTTTTGTGAAATTGCACTGTACTTTCTTAAAGATTGACATTTTTAAAGATATAAGCTCATCCCGATGTTATACATATCAAGAGCTTTCATTTGAGTACCCACATGCATTTTCATATATTTTTCATATATATATAAATATATATAAAATATATGAAAAATTGATGTGAGTACTCAAATGAAAGGTCTTGTTGAGTGTAACATCAGGATGAGCTTGTATCTTTAAAAATGTCAATATTTCATAAGATACATGCCTATTTCTTAATTATATAATATATATAACATATATTTTGAAGATATAAGCTCATCACGAAGTTACACTCATCAAGAGCTTTCATTTGAGTACCCACATACATTTTTGATATATTTTTCATATATACATATATGTAAATATATAAAATATATGAAAAATTGATGTGGGTACTCAAATGAAAGGTCTCGGCGAGTGTAACATCGGGATGAGCTTATATCTTTAAAAATGTCAATATTTCACAAGATACAAGGTCATTTCTTAATTATCTAAAAAAACCGATTTTATCATATGACTATCTTGGCCTCAAAATTTTTCTTATTCTCTTAATAATATAGATAATAACATACATACCATACATTGTCGTCGATCATCTTTGCATTTCTTCTTAAGCCAAGTATAGTTACTATTTGGATTAACGCAATGCTCTCCATCCTTGATAGTGTCACATTCATAACAGTTCAAATCATTGGCACGTTCAGTGGCAGCATGAGTGCGATGTTCAGTGGACAATAACTGTCCAGCATCGACTGTCACCATGAAAAATAAAAAGCACATGCAAAATAACAATAACAATACTGATATATATTATGTATATTTATAATATAAAATTATTTACCTCTAGACAGGTGCACGAGGGTAGTCAAAAGTGCGACGGAAATGAACAGATTGGTGTGATGCATGACTTTACCCACAACAAAAATCCTCCTCAAGAATCAGTTCTGGTCATTTCAAATCTGAGACTCGCTCGTTCACAAACTCAAAAATATAATCATGTGGGTTTCCCAAGTCCGAGAAACATCCGCGATAAGTTCCGCCATTGTCGCGCAATCGCACTTTGCAAGCTCGCCCTCGTACTCCAGACTCAACAATCGATACCACATGGTACAGAATTTAAGTACTGGGGCAATTCATGTATATATCTTCTATTCCTTCACCCCTCGTTCTCGTTCTCGGTCTATTCTGTAACCTCATTGTAACTGCTGTGCGTCTACAGCTGGATTATGGATATTATGGATATATACTCCAGGATATTCCGGGTTTCCCATTAATTTTCCCAGATCCGATGACATGCGTCACTTGATCGATCCGCTTTACGACACCATAACCTTGATTAGATATTAGATCATGCTTAATTGCTTTATTAGCTTCTAAGATTAATTTATGATCGATAGAAAAATCATTTTTATCAATTGTGACCTTCACATTGAAAATTATTGGGTTTTTCGTCCTTATTATCATTGATAATTTTACGGATGAAATTGGCGGTTTGAATCAGTTTAAAAGTTTTGAAACTTTGATAATTAATTAAAAGGTGGCAATTACACAGAACATACTGTAGTTTATCTGTCCTTTCTTCTTTGAAAGTACCATGACCTGTCTTACACGAGTTAAGGTGACGAAATTTTATCTCTGAAGGGTTTCAACGCTCAAACTTTGCTGTTAAGTTATTACTTATTGTAAAAATTTAATTTTTTTTTTTGCTGAGACTTATAAAAGAAGGAACATTATTATTATTGCACAGAAAAGATAATACTTTAATGAAGATAATTTTATTGACAAAAAAATATATATTTTTAATAAATATCATTTCTTATCAAATCAAATAATTTTTAAAATCATTTTTTTAAGCTAATTTTTTTATATTAATTAAAAAAAGCTTGTAATTTTTTTCTTGTCAGTCTTTAAAAGTTAATTTACATATTATTTTTTATCTTGTGAACTATTAACATTTTTGAAGATATAAGCTCACCCCGACGTTACACTCATCGAGATCTTTCATTTGAGTACCCACATCAATTTTTCATATATTTCATATATTTATTCATCATATATATGTATATATGAAAAATATATCAAAAATGCATGTGGGTACTCAAATGAAAGCTCTTGATGAGTGTAACATCAGGATGAGCTTATATCTTTAAAAACGTCAATATTTAAGAAAGTACAGTGTTATTTAATAGTGACTGCAAGGTTGCTAGTTTAAATTAAAAATTTCATCTAAAAAATTCTCACATTCTCTAAATTAACTTAATAGCCAGTAAATTATTCCAGAAGGTAATCGGCAACCGGGTTAACAAACATTTGATAATGACGTTGGCGTGGATAAAGGGAGCAAGTGTGTATTTTGAGTGTGGTTTCTGCAGATGAGGCTGTTTATAATTTACCCTGGACTTTAAACGTCATTGTGGATGAGAAATTATTAAATTGGTTGTATGAGTAGACGGCGTTACGTGTCCCAGGCCCCAGGTGGATCAGAGATCCAACTCAAGAGTAAACTTTTAATTAGAACATATTGTCCGGTGAGAGGATGGAAAATGTTTCGGGAGTATCGCCCTCAAATGGACGAGATAATTTTGTTTTGAAACAACCTTCGCCTTTTCAAAAAAAAAAAAAAGTTCTGGACTTTTATTGTAATTTTTCAGACAAAGCCGGGCATTGTACTTGCGTAGCTATGTATGGAGAACAATGGTTGAACTTTGCAAAGATAGTAACCGTTGTAAAATCGATTTTGAGTCATCGGAGCTCGAGTACATTTTCTATGCTCCGCTCGGAAGCTCCCAGAGTCTATCCACATAAATTCTCAAGCTTGCAATGCGAAGAGGATTAACTAGATCGCCGATAAATCCCTTTTTTATTCCTCGGTAAATTTATTCATAATTCCAAACTTTTGGAATATTACAAGCAACAAATTTTTGTAATTTAATAACATTAAAAAGTTTTATTTATCGGCAAGTTTATAAATAAATTTAATGGATGAAAATTTATATAAGTTTTCTTTGGAATCTTTGGAAAAAAAAATCCCTCGGCTTTCATCGCGAGCTGTCAGATTAATCGTGATAATGAAATAGTGCTCGGAATTTTATTTTTGAAACTCGGAAATTTAATTATAAAGCTTTTAAATTAAATCTCTAAATTATTATAAAACTTTTTTGCTTTAAAAAAATTTTATTTATTTATAAAAACAATTTTTTTGGTCATATTAATTTTATGAATTATAAATCTCTATAAAATTTTAAATAATTATAAAAGTGGGGCTTGACCTAGTTCGCGATGTAAAAAGTTGAAAAATTAACTTAATGTTTTTTTCTATAATACATTAATGATATAAATAATTTTTGGTTCAAAAAATTAAATTTTATAATTAAAATAAAATTTTTATTAAAAATTGCAAGCTAAAAAAAATTCTTAACAGTGATTTTAAATTTTGATTGATAGATTGAATGGATAAAAAATTTTGAGTGACATTAAATAAATTAACACTGCTTTTAGTAATTCCATAAAACCAAAAACGGTATTAAGAGGGAGCTTTGATAGCCAGTAACGTTGGTCCCAAGGGTATCAGGCTCGTTTGGCAGGTATAAAGTTATATTATACAGGCGTATAGTGGTTTCGTTCATGAAACATTATGTCGCGGACCGCGAGACATCCTTTGGTAGCTCGCACCAGATATCGATCTTACAAAAAGCTCAAACTATAGAAAAGCACGTTGACCTGGCCAGACTACAGTGAACCCAATTGATTATCCTATACTCTACTGACTTATAGTATGCAGAATCAACAATATAAATATAAACAAAAGTCACCAATAATTTCATTTTATTTCTTTGAGAGTTTATTTTAAAATAGAGTAACTGAAAAATTTTTATTGGTACATTTTTGAGTACTCTGTAAGTAAACAGTCTATTTTTTATAAGTATGCACTGAAAAAAAAATTAAATTGATTTAAAAAAAATGTTTTTAAAGAATTTTTATCTAATTAAATATAATAAAGCTTTAAAAAAAATTTTTTTTTATTAAAAACAATTTTTTTGGATTAAAAAAAATTATTTTAAAGAATTTTTTTACAATTAAATACGATAAAGTTCTAAAAATTAATTTTTTGATTAAAAAAAAAAATTTTTCAACCAAATTTTTGTTTTTTTTCAATAAATTATTTTATTTATTATAAGGACAAATATGTAATAATTAATATTAAAATTTTTCTGCTAAAAATTTTAATTTATTAATTAATTAAAATTGTCCATTTTCTGGACAATAATTTACTTTTTTTCCGTGTACGTAGAAAATAAAAAAAAAAGAATTAAAAATGATGAATAATAATATTAAAGAGGAATTAATAGCCGTTGAGGTCGCGAGGAATAATTAATAAACGGGCAGGGATAATTGACTGGAATTAAAGAGCCAACCGATTGGAGTTTGGATCCTCGGACCGCGGAGTAGAAGCAACACGTGACCGTGCAATTCAAATGGAAACTCTTCTGCAAGCTCGGTCTTTCTCTCTCGCGTTTATTAGCGACGTAAATTCTATTCTATTCTATTCTATTCGTGTTTTCCCGGACGATCCTCGCCGTCGGAAAGCGATGACAAAAGTACGAGGAAATAGCGCGGGCGTATTGGCCAACAGGATTCGGTGATGGCGTCGAGCGGACGCCGGGACGAGCGCCTGCCTCCAGTGTTGAGCCGACAGCGGACCTAGTTAGAGCGTCGCGACGTCCGCGTGCTTACGTCAAAGGTACTCCAAGTTTCGTTAATTGTGCAATTGTTTACCTGACTCTTAAAATTTTTTTTTATTTTCAATTTTATTAAAAAAATTTCAAAAAAAATTATTAGTTTTTTTTTTTTTTTGAAAAAAAAAAATTAAAAAAAAATTACCGATAAATTTTTTTGGAATTAAAATCAAGCTCCAGCTTTTAAAAAAAAATTATAATAAAAAAATCAACAGGTGGCTTTGCAGATTTTTATTATTTCCGTCTTGAAAGCTTAAGATAAGCCGCGATTTAATAAAGCAATTAAATTTGAAGATAATTGTAATTAAAAAAAAATTGTAAGCTTGATAAAAAAGCTCAGACTGATAAAAGAATTAAACATAGGACAATTGAGAGACAGTTGGACCGAAAACAGACGGGATTTAATTAAGTCGCGGCCCGAGTAATTTGATTCCGCTAATGGAGGTACGTGAAAACTAACACATGTCGTACGAAAACGAGCTCTAGAAACACTCACACAGATCTATGTTTATAAAATAGTTTGACGTGGACAATGTAATTGAGCACGTTTCAATTTGAATTACGACACGGCTCACTGGATACGTCGGCTCGGTATTGAAACTCAAGCTTTTAGCGCTCAGCAAAACAAACATTTGATAAATAATATACAGATATAAATTAAACGGGGATGAAAAAAGTCGCTGGTTAATTTTTTTTATTAATTTAAAAAGGTCACACTGACCCCCATGAAAAAAAAAATATATATAGTAAATATATTTTTAATAACGAACTTTTGGCCGATTTTCATGTATATTTTATAAATTTTAAATATATTTTAAAATACATAAAAAATACATAGCTAAAAATATAAAAAAATATATTTTGAATATATATAAAATATATTTTAAATATCTAAAAAATATATGAAAATCGGCCAAAAGTTAGTTATTAAAAATATATTTACTATATGTACATATCGACGGTCGAATTAGCAATTTGTCTAACTCCATATTTTTTAGAAGGTGATTTTTTAACATTTTTAAGTAGCCATAATCGAATTATTAATTATTTGAATGATTCAAACCTGAATATTATATCTGTATTAGATAATAATTATATAAAACGGGTTTTTAAAGTGATAATAAATTTTGAACTAAGTATTTTTTTCGTACAAATAGAATATTCTCTAA